TTAAGAAGCAGACCCCATTTCCCTTCCCCTTTCATCTGGACTGGCCTTGTGACTAACTTTGACAACAGAATGTGGCAAAAATGAGCCTAAGCCTTACAAGGACTTGCCGTTTCCATTTTCATTCTCTTGGAAGCCAGCCTTCATGTAAAGAAGCTTGAGCTACTCTGTAGATACTGAGAGATCACATGGAGAGATTATCCTTGTGAAGGAGACACAAGATGTCCCAGACAACAGTCAGTATCATGGTCTCAGTGGGTCCATATTGAATGCTCATTAAACACCATATGGAGCCCAGACAGCCATTCCTACCAAGCCTTGCCTGAATTCCTAGCCCACAGAAATCAACATCAGTTGTTTAAAATGATTGAATTTTGGGGTAATTGTTAGACAGCAATGGAAAACTACACTATCTATTATAGAACTTGTCATTAAATACCATAATTACTTATTTACTTGTCTGTCACATTTGTGAGCTACTATAAATGGAGACAATTTTCATCTTAATAGCTGTGACACCTGACCTATGGGAATGCTTTACAATGGCGAGCCTAGGAAAAAAATGAGGCTTCTTAAGGAGATCACAGAGAAACCTTGTCACACTGGAGATTTTTTAAAGGAAATGAGTACCAAAAAACAAAAGGTTCTAGAGAATGATTGTGGAAGACAAGAGTGGACGAAAATTCAGAGCAATTGCAAGGGACCTCCAAAATGTGTATTAGAATTCTTCTAATAATTGGTGAGATTATTGACCTCTGTTTCAATCCATATGCAGCCTAGATGGGCCCCACAGTCACAAGTATTTACGACGGCCTGTCAGGCAGTTATCACTCTGTGCAATTAAACTGTACATCATGGTTCTCACTCTCCGGAAGAAGTTTACTGTAACAGAAAAGCAGATGTACCAACACATTGTGGGCTGCAGGAGGATATGAAAAGGTGGGGAGGACAGAAGGCTCAGATTCATTGGTTTTACTAGGCAGGATTTCCACGAATCCACTTCATCTTTTCCCTTCACATAGTGTTTACCGAGTACTGCCTGGGCATGGCACTCCCTCTCCCTCTTATGCTGAAGCCTCGCCAAGTTGAGAGGAGTTTCTCACATGTTCCACACTCTGTCATGCTTCATAGCCTTTGCTCTTTCCCCCTTCCTTCCTGGAATGATTTATGACCCATGCTTCCATGCCCTTCACCTAGCAATACTTGTATTCGTCTCTGGAGCTCCTCCCCCTTCTTTTCCTCATCCCGTCCCCAGGAAGAAACCCCCCATTTGCTCTGCCATTTCAAATGTCTCCAGATTCAGTGTGAGTCCTCCCTGCTCTGCAAAGCCATCACTGACCATCCCAACCTGGGGTTTCCTAGAATGTGGTGGAAAGGGAACTGGCTTTGGAGCAACATGAATTTGGGTTCAAATCCTGGCTGTGCCGCTTGTGATTCTGCACAAGCTCTTTAATCTCTCACGTTTCCTCATCTGTAAACTGGGCATGATGCTCCCACTTCATAAGGCTGTAATGAGGGTATGGGAGATCGCTACATACAGTGTTTAGCTGAGTCCTGGTATGTAACACACCAGTGATACATGTTATTTTCTTCCTCCTCTCTGAACTTCTGGCATTTAATATCTGTACCACTCATTTGTCCTCAAATCATAGTTATTTTGTGACAGCTCCTGTCCTGTACCATCATTTAACTTAATGTTATTCCTTGCTCATTTTTAATATACGCTTCCTCCTAATATCTAAAATATAACTTTTTATATCTTTATATGTCCCAAGAACAACAGATTCTTAATAAATATCAGTGCATGAATGAATAGACAGTGGAGTGGGTGGCTGCCTCTTAGGGCTTTCTTTTTTTTTTTTTAATTTTTTTTTTTCAACGTTTATTTATTTTTGGGACAGAGAGAGACAGAGCATGAACGGGGGAGGGGCAGAGAGAGAGGGAGACACAGAATCAGAAACAGGCTCCAGGCTCTGAGCCATCAGCCCAGAGCCTGACGTGGGGCTCGAACTCACGGACCACGAGATCGTGACCTGGCTGAAGTCAGACGCTTAACCGACTACGCCACCCAGGCGCCCCTCTTAGGGCTTTCTATAGTACACTTTGTAAAGTACAGCATTCCAGGTTGAGAACTCACTCAATTAGAATAACTAATTTCAGGGTATTTTTTTTTTCCAGGAAAGGAATGATTAGGGAAAAGTTCAACACTTTTCCTTATCCTACTGGATCAGTGTAACAGAGGAAAATGAAGACCCATCCCATGAAAAGATAACTCGGAGGCAATGCAGTATTGAGAACAATGAAGACACAAAGACTACCCCTCCAGCTCCAGGCTTTTTTTTTTTTTTTTTTTTTTTTTTTTTTAATATGCATGTATGACCAGATCAGAGATAATGACTGAGAATGAAAGAGCAATTATGTGAAGAGTAATCCCCAATTGATTACATGGGAATTAAGTAAGCTGATAGGAAATATCAAGTTTGGATTAAGATATTAAGGGCCCTCCTGTCATTTAGATGGAAACAGTCATGAGGAGGGAGAACAAATCCTCTGTGACTGACTGAGGATCCATCTGTCAGAAGTAAGGGGTAGGATGACATATTATAAGTGAACAAATAAATGGACTTAATCAGGGATGAAAACCAAGGATCAGTGCACCCTCAGGACATACGAGACTTAAAGAGAAGACAACACAAAATAGGGCCAAGCTCCAAAAAACCTCCAGAAAGGAACTCCAGAAGTTTTCTAGACAGGTGTCTGCTCCCTTGCTAGTCTTGAGGTTGCGGTAGTGAGCTGCACTCCATTGTGAGGCTGGCAAAGCCATGCTACACTGGAGCAAAGAGCAGGAGGTTCTTGAGAGAGTGCCTCACAGTGATTTCAATATGCTTTTTTATGCCAAAGGACCCTTTGTTCAGTCTTATAGAGTCCCACGATACATAAAAGAAACAGAGGTATTGCTGTATGATTGCAAAGAAGCAAGAAGAGAAAGGGTGAGGGGATCTTGGAAGATGATAATATCTTGGATCCCGCTTCCTAGGACCTTATGCTTGGCAGAACATGTTGGGAAAACCACTGGCCCAGGATATCTATAAGCCTTTATGAATTGCTCTTGTCAACTGGCAAGGTTTTTGGCTAAGATCCAGTTGGTTAAAGCCTTCCAAAGCAAAATGTACTAAAACTAGAGACTAAAGATCATGTAGTAAAGATGACTTCATCCCCCTCGAGGGGAAAACAGGCCTTTGTCTGCTTTACTACACCAAAATCTCAGCAGGGTTTATTCTTTCTGGAAAATATTCTTCAAGTCATAACTGAGACTCTCAGTGGAAGCCAATTTCAATTTAGTAACACCTAAATATATCTGAACCAACAGGTTCTGGATGGCTCTTCAGAATGAGCTGTTAGAAGAGACAAGAGCAGCCTTCATATTTCCTAAGAGAGGCCTTGATGTCCAAGGATATTTTCAGTCTTACAGGACGGTTTAATAATGAATCCTTGGGATCTTGAGTTTCATCCTAACTTAAGAGTGAATGTAACCATTGAGTTAAGTTTCTAACCTCAGACACTAGAAGGGTAGTTACAAAACCAAGAGAAAGTAAAGAGACAGAAGAATGGCTTTGAAGGCCTTTCTGCCAAATGAGAGCCCTCAGGGTCATACTGGCTGAGAGTGTAAGTAGGTTTGTGGCCAGTGTTCCCGGCATGTCAGGAGTGTAGAGCGTCTTGGGTGGTTAGTAGTCTGAATCAACACTTACTGACAAATAGATGGTGGATACTATCATGACTGTCCTCATGGGAAAGATAGGAGTTGAATGTTTTCTCTTCACATTGCAGTAGGTTTCAGATACTCAGCTGAGAGAGACCAGACCTGAGGTTTTTGGTGGACACTTCAAAGCCGAGGGTAATGCCTATTGTTAAGAGGGGGACACATTTTGGGACCACTGCCTTTTCACACATGCTCCAGGCTCCAGAGTGCCCCTCCCCATCCATGTCTTTCAACTGGAAGCATGAATTTAATTCACTGAGAGGTGGACTGGCCCCCAGCCTGCCTTTCCTGTTCTGTGATCTTAGAACAATCTGACCTTTTCCCTGGGTGGATGCTGGTTCCTAGGGGATGGATGTGTAATGCAGGACAGCAGGGGTTCCCCACCCAGCTCCACATTCCTAAGAGTGAAGGCACCTGTTTGGCTATGCTAATTTGCTCCTGATGCAGGTGAGCTCACCCCTAGCTGCTTTAGCACAGAAGGGAGGAAAGATGCCTTTTCACAGGTACCTTATATACCTAGGCTCCCTCTTTGAATGTGCTGACAACATTTTCTTAAGTTCCTCTTCCTCCTCAGTAACATCCCCATCAAACATTCTGTCAGAGCAAGAGCCAAAAACAGAAAAAAAAAGTATCAAATGGGAAAACAATGAAATGCCTGTTTGGTTCCTGTGTGCAGTGAGCAACAATAAGCCACACTTTCTGAAGTGTCTCAGAAAGGAATGCCTGTGATGTTCTTTCAAAGAAGGACTCTGGCCCCAAACCAAGCTGTAAGCCATGACAATGCTCCACTAAACACCAAAAAGAATTCGCCTTTCAGCCAGAGAGGCATTTCTCATGTACTGGGGGAAAATGCCACCCACACCACGTCACCTCAGCACATTTACTGTCACTCCCCTCTTCCTGCTGAAGCCAGAGGAACGTAGCACACTGTGACTGTTGGGTGGACTGAAACTCAGCTGAGGAGTCTGAGCCCTGGGAACTCTGCCCCCTAAGATGTGCTCCCGGGAAAGCAGGAGTCTAGGAGGTGTGTTTGTATTTTAGGGAGTTTACGGCTCTTGGGTCCTCTCTCCTACAGAAAGACCTTCTCCCCTTCGTCCCCACCTAAACTTTCCCCGTAGCCAGGCATTTGAAGTTAGCTGAAGTGTCAAAACACTTTGTAAAAAGGCCATTGAGTCAGGAGGGCTTCACCCCGCCTGGGCAAGTTCAAGTCCTTCAGAGGAAAAGGGGAGGGATCGCCTCTTACCTGGGCTTCTTTCACTATTCCATTTTTCGTGCAGTTTCCACTTTGCAGGCTGTCGCTCTGTTTCCTGTGATTGTGCAGATTCCCATTGCAGACAGCACCACCTCCAGGATTAGCCATTTGTGTGAAATGATGGAATCCAGCCGGTTTTCGTCCAGAGGTTCTAGGCAAGCTTTAGTTTTGAAGTTGGTGAGGGAATGAGAGAGGAAGCACTTTGGGCTGAGTCCCTGAAGGAATCCTACCGATCAGGCTTTCCAGAAGAATAGCAACAGCCTATCTTTGGGGCAGATCTTTGAAACAAAAAACAAGTGGTTACCTTTACACTCCTCAGCTCAGAATGTGACCTTCAGGACAACAAACCTGCTTTTGAAACTGGAAAGGAGATTGTCCATGCTGGCTCCTTGGGGGGGCTGAGGAAATCTGGAAACTGCAAAACCCAGAAGCAACTGCGAGGAGGCCGGCTGAGGGGGTGGAGCATCTTTTAAAGATACACACACACAGAGCACAGTCAAGGTCTCCTATGTGCAGTCAGTTTCGAATTTACGTCTACCCCCACCCCTTCCTCCTGCATCTAATTACAACTTTTGGTTGTAGACCAAGCTCAAGGTCAACATTTCCCCCCCCACAAAACAACACTCAGCAGTGGTTGCCTGGGCTAGCAAGAAGGAGAGGAGAATGGGAAGTTACTGTTTCACTAGCACTGAGGTTTTTAGCTGGTTCCATGGCTGGTGGTGATGGTTGCACAACAGTGTGAATGTACTTAATGCCACTGAACTTTACACTTCAAAACGGTTAAGATGGTAAATTTTGTGTGATGTGGCACACAATAATACATAATACAAAATGGCAAAAATAATAACAATGTTCAGAACCCGTCTGATGTTAAAGCCAGCGATAACACAAGGGGTATTGGCTCATCCAGAATTCCAGTAACACGAATCTGGGAGACAGAATATTTGGTTTCTGGTTAAGGCTGTGTTACTTTACCATGTGACTTCAGGAGAGCCATTTGCCTTCTTTTTTGCCTCATTTCTTCACGTGTACAAAGAGACAAAACATTTTCAGTGGGCCAGTGGCTGAGGGGGCAGCAGGAAAATAAAAGTGTGGCCTGGGTTTGTTATTGACACAGGTGTTGTGGGGCAGATGGTGAATGCAGTGCCACAGTCCTGCTACACCTCTGGTTTACTCATTAACTCTTACTGTCTTGATGCTTTAGTTACTAGAGGGCTGTTTTCTCCTACCATCAAATGGCATTGTAGTTTGTTGGACAGTGTCAATCATTTACAGCTTGTTCAGTCCTCAAGCCCACTGTCATGGTTGCCCTGAATGGAGCCTTCTTTAACATCAGGCACTTAGGAAAAAACAAAAAAACAAAAATGAGCCATTTATTGGATCAATGGACAAAAACAAAGACACACACAAGCAAAAAACAAAAAACAGAAATGGTCCCTGTTGTTAGAGCCTCATTTCTTGGTTCTCAGCTCTCGAGGACTGGGTTCATTTCCCAGTCCATTGGCTTATGGAGGAGGTGATGATAATGCTTCTTCTAACCATGATTTGCATGTGAGGGTTGCCAATTTTCCACCTCAGGGAGAGCTAAAGGAATAAGGTGAGGTCTTAGGCCAAATAATGAGATGGGGCTCATGCCAAGTGTGGCCACCCCTTTGTTTCTCAAGCTCAGACTTTCTATTGCATCTCTCCCAACCTTTGTTATCAGAGCAGAGCTAGCTTTTCCCTGGCTAACTGTAACTCCCTGTTACACTAGGAGTTGGGAGTTATTTGTATGGGCTTATTTCCTTCTAGACTTATGCAAAAAGGAGATGAAAAGGTAGGATGGGACACTGATAACTGCTGGCCTGACTGTCCCAGCTTACTTAGGGAGACAGGTTGAAGGGGTGCCTGGATGGCTTAGTTGGTTGGCATCTGGCTCTTGATTTTGGCTCAGGTTCACGGGATCCAGCCCAACATCGGGCTCTGGGTTGACAGCGTGGAGACTGCTTGGGATACTCTCTCTCTCCCTCTCTCTGCCCCTCCCCTGATCTCATGCATGCTCTCTCTCTCTCTCAAACTAAATAAACATTTTTTTTTTAAAGAAGACAGGTTGAAGACATGGTGTTATTTTGACTCAGCTCTAATTATCCATACAAAGTTTTTTTGTTTTTTTTAATAAAGATTTTGAGATAAAACTAACTAAATTCTGTACATTAGATGTTTCTATCCCTCTTCCTTTTCTTCTTCCTTCTCCTTCCCTTTCATCTTTTGAATTTCCTTTTCCTTTCTTCCTACTCTTCCTCCTCTTCCTCTTTTATTTTGTTTTTATTTTCTTTTTACAAGGGGACAAAAACCATATATAAAGAATACATCTCAAAAGAGAACTGAAATCTGCATCACTTTGCTTTCCCCCTATTGTCAATTGCCAACTTTAGATAATCACACGTCAACCTTCTAGAAGTATCTATTACATGTCCTCATTCTTGAAACTTTTCCACTTTGCTTGCCATGTTGGAATATGTGAGTTGCAATGTGCACAAAATCATATAAAGACAGCAACCATTTGTCATCAGGCACCATGGACATGCATAATCATGATGGCTCATTGTGTCTCCAGGAAAAATAAGTGGGGAGGTTTATTTGCATTGTGTTGTAGCTTTGAGTTTAAACACATTTATTGCTATGGTCTGAATCTTTGTGTTCTCCTAAGCTCATATGTTGAAATCATGACCCAAGGTTATGTGGTATTAGGGAGTGGGGCAGTTGTTGGGAGAGTCTCCATAAATGAGATTTGTGTCCATACAAAAGAGGTCCCAGAGAGCTCCCTTCCCTCTTTAGCCATGTGAGGTTACAGTGAAAAGACAGCCATTTAAGAAGCAGATTCTCACCCGACACCACATTTTCCGGTGCCTTGATTTTGGACTTCTAGCCTCCAGAACTGTGAGAAATAAGCTTGTGTTGTTTCTAAGCTACTCAGTTTAGGGTATCTTGGTATAGCAGCCGAAACATACTAAGACCTCAATCAACACTAAATGCCACCTGAATGTTGGGTATGATTTGCTGTCTCTGAATAACTAAGTGAACTTCAGATCAACCAGGAAACTTAGTAAGTATTTCAATAACTGTCAAGTATCGGTTTTCTACGCCTCTCCATACAATACGAACAAGACAAACACAGTCTCCACCTTCACAGAGCCAAGAGTTAGCAGCACTTACATATCCTTTCAAGAAATCTCATTAGTGAAAGTAAAAAGAAACCTGTCCATTAGTGTATTAAAGGCAAAGATGAAATCAGTTTACTGTGGCCTTGTGGTGTTTCCTGAAGGGGATTCTTGGCCTAGATGCCCACTTCTAGAAGTAGGGAAGAAAGAGATGTTCAGAGGCCTGATAATATGTTCTGAAAATGTTGGCAGAAAAGGGAATGAATGACAAAAGTAAATGGTCAGAATTTCACGGTGTCTAGAGATCTATTCTTTCTCTGTGACTCGGTCTTTGCTTCTGTAGTGGAGGGTGACGCTAATGCCAAAACTAAAGTCCCACATACCATGATATCTCTCCTTCAACTGCTGTCTGGAGAACCATCAACTACAACGAAGAGAAGTAACAAAAATTGTTATGGGTTGAGACATTTTATTGCATTAGCCAAATAATAAATACATTTTTTATTTTGCCTTCCTGATCCATGAAAATCCTATTAAATACATGCCAAGATCAAATGGTATCTCTGTACCTCCTGGGATTTGATAGTCTGGGATTCCTCCTCAGAGAAATATTTAAACGTCCTTAAAGTATTCAGACTAGAAAAATTTTAGTGCAAGGATAATTCAGATCCAAAGCTTTTCTTACCAATAAGTTGTAAACACCATGACACCAGAAGGCCAGATATCAGTGTTACAGATGTCAGGTGTCTGTTTGGTTTTTATTTCTTTCGAAACATTGACTAACAGAATGGCAAAGGTATATTAAGTTAGAAAAAAAAAATCTTTTTATTGATGACTACTACCCCATGGTCAGCAACAGTGGAGTAATTCTGCTTTTCTCCTTGACATAATCCTCTGGGAGTAGTGTCTACTTGAGTTCTTGTGGTGGCAGTTACCTTCAGAATGCCTGTAGCAAATAACAGGCAGTGTCTCCCCTCCCTATGGATGCCCCTGTGGATGTCTGGACTCTTTGGCTATGAAACAACATCTGTTAAAGAAAACCCTGAGAAAGAGGAACATAAATGCCATTTAATTTCACTTGTATGAGGAACCTAAAAAATAAAACAAATGAATAAACAAATAAAAAGCAGAAATAGACCCATAAATACAGAGAACAAACTCTTGGTTGCCAGAGGGGATGAGGAGGTGGGTTGGGCGAAGGGCAACATGTGTGAAGGGGAGTGCGAGGTATAGCCTTCCAGTTATGGAATGAATAAGTCATGGGTATGAAATGTACAGCATAGGGAATATAGTCAATGATATTAGAACAGCATTGTATGGTGACAGGTGGTAGCTATGCTTGTGGTGAGCAGAGCGTAACTTATAAAGTTATTGAATCACTATTTTGTACATCTGAAACTAATGTAGCATTGTGTATCAACTATACTTCAATAACCCTCCCCCCAAAAAAACTTTCAGAATTGAAATTTTCAAAACAAAACTAGGTACTTCTCAGAAGTACTCCAGAGCCTCTCCTATAACCCAGCTATTCCAGATGTTTGGAAATGAGCTTCTCACAGGCACTGAATTTGGGTGAAATTTACCTAATTTTATTAATCAAAAATTTTTTTTTTATTTCTGTCACTAGAGAATTCTTAGTTCCTTTAGAGAATTCTTTGCACAAAGCAACGATGATTTACTTAAGTGGGTTTTAAATTAATACTTGGCATATTAAATTAGAAATTGAAAACCTAGTAAAGTTCAATCTTTGTATCCTATTAGGACTTTTGTATAAAATAAGAAAATACTTTTGTGATTCTTAATTCATTAATATTTGACTGATATATGTTGAGTAGGCTGAATTCTCCTGAAGCAAAAAGTGCCATTTATAAACTTAGTCAGTGCACTGCCTTAAAATATTTAAAACTTAGTTAATTAAATGCCTTTAAAATTTAAAACATAAAAACACTTGACTGTATTTTATTTTTT